ATATTCTAAAAAATAACATTTTCTCGAAAAAATGTGAAGACAAAAAACCATATTATGAGAAAAACGCAAAAGAAGTTTTGGAAGTGTAATTCAAGACTTTTTCTACGGTAAAATGGTGTAAAAAGAAGGTTTGAGTAATTTCACATAGATCATCGATTAGAAGGAATTGAGTGGATGCATTCAAAGGCTTATGGCGAAAACTTTTGTTTATTTCATATGGTTATGTCGTGATCACCGTGAAATCAATAAGGACTGCACCTATAATCCTTCTTCACATATATATGTGTTATCACTCCTGTTGTTGTTGTTGTTCTCTAGTTAGATTCGTTCGTTCTTGTTCTCACCTTTCTCTTGTTCATCTAGTTGAGATACTGTCTTTGTTTATTTTTACTCACGTATAAAATAAACGCGATATACATCTCTCATCACTTCTTGTATTGAACGGCAATACGTATAATAACTCATATTTTTTGTCGCAAAAATAAACGTTTTAATGGATAAAAGAAGTATTTGTTACAAACAGAAAAGTAGAAGATCTATTATCAAACAAATTCGGTCGGAAAATCTAAACAGGAAGCGTGGTTATTCATAATCGTCAGACATCAGCGAAGAATCAACGGATTCAGTACAAAATCAGTTCACATCAAGCATAGAAAATATTGAAGATAATATGGTTTTTTGTCTTCACATTTTTTCGAGAAAATGTTATTTTTTAGAATATGAGGTTCTAGAAAAAATTATGTAACATCTTCAAAACTCATCATAAAATGAATAAACTATAGTGCATTCGATAGCCCACACTTTGCTCTATCTGACACACTATAAATCAAAAAATCGACAAATTTGACGAAAATCAACTTTTTAGGGTGGGGGGGCTTAAGTTGTTGTGAAGAAATATCCGTTTCTTCAGGAAAAAGCATGAAGTTCTTGTGCAGAAATTTTGCACCGATGTTTATGCGCAAAAACTTCAGCTTTCTTCCTGAAGAGACCGATATTTTCCGACAAGAACTTCATCTTTTTTCCCAGAGAAATCGATATTTCTCCACAAGAACTTCAGGTCTTTTTTGAAGAAATCCATGTTTCTCCTCAAGAACTTCATGATTTTTCCTGAAGAAAGCGACCTTTCTCCACAAGAACTTCATGTTTTTTCGTGAAGAAATCCTTGTTTCTCCACAAAAAGTTTCTGCATTTTCCTGATTGTATTTCTTAAGAGTAGTGTTGAATATTTTCACAGTATGTCCATACTCAAGAATTACTAAAGAATCCTAATTTCTGTGATGTGCCATATCGTTAAGCACACTTTTCCTCGCAAAATGAGATAATCGCGAGCTCTGAGCGTCTTTTCGTTCAAAGAATACAAAGAAAAAAATAGCACAAAACATTACGGAGTGACGTTTTCGATCGAGTTAGGCGGACTGTTCTATAAGCAGTTCGTCGTGTACTACAATCTGGTTGTATTTAAATGTACAAATAGAAAGTATATAAGGATCTTTAGCTCGATCTTTGAAGATCCATTTTCAGAAGCTCGACAGTGACAAATAAAGATCTGCTCCATGATTGCCATAAAAGAATATCTATTGAAAATCTGTCCTATTGAAGTTGGAGTGCATTACCTCCCCTCGATAGATTTGACAGATATTTTATGTGAAAAGTTTTCATTATAGCTAAAAGATAAAGTTTTCTAAGCGCTACAAAACGACTAAATGTGTTTAATATTTTTCAGAACCACTGATCAGAACGTAAAATATTTGATTGACTTTTTCCTTAAAGTTTCGGAAGTTTTTCACTGTTCTGTTTCTAGTTCGTAGCTGCTTCTGATACTGGTTGATGGTGAGGTGATATGGGCAGACACATACAATTCTTTTATCTGACCTTAGACTTTCAGTCTAGGAAACAAATCACCTAGAGATGTCGCTCGCTAAAAATACGGCGTCAATATTGTCGAGAGAATATGTTATTGTTATTACTAACAAACTTGTCGAAAAATAGCTTATCTAGTTTTCGATGGTATATTTTTAGTGTACTTCAAATTACATTTTCGACATACGAATTCAGATGCAGTATTAAATATAAAACAAATTGATCCTGAAATTAAGAATTTTCCAGCTTTCAGACAGTGGCAGCATCGTCGATAAATCGTGTAATTCTCTCTTATTTTAGAACATATAAGACATTTTTTTTCTGTATTTATCGGTATGGGTAGACGCTTAAGAATGAAACGTTTAATTAAGATTTCTATCTTTAAAAAGAAAGTTTAGCTGATCAATTATAAAATCCATGCTGAATTTTATATATATTGAATTTAAGTATTTTGAGGAATGTGTAAACTTGAGTCATTTCGATATCAATTGAACTTTGTGCCGGTCAGTTCCTCTTTCTAATCAAGACATTATTTGAATTCAATCTCGTTTTATCTACAGTGTTGTATTTAAAATATTAATAATAATAATAATAATAAAAGTCAGTCGAGCATAGTAGAGGAAAAGAGAGAAAGTAATTATTTAAAAAAAGAAAATTGTTTACAAGTGAGATAAATGTACTTACTAAATAAATTGAGAAAAAATTAACGTTTGTTTGTCATGATCAAACAACCTTGTTTTGTTAGGTATCTACAGATTCGCCTTTGTATCATTCTCTTTTCTCCTTCTATCGAAGACATGGTTATCAAAAAAATTTTAATATTATATGATGCGCATGTAATCATATCGTTATATGTCATAATTGAGAATCTATTCATCCATTTTATGTCTTCCTTTTAGCCGATCAGAAAAAAACTCGTCGGCGTATGACGATACACAAACCTCTTTTTCTTCTTAAAAACTGAGCAGACGCGTGGCTACACACATATAAGCCACTATTTCGCCCATCACCAAAGTTTTCCATCAATCGTCAATACAGTCTCCTTCACAGAGTTTTTTCCTTCTAAATTTTTTCTGCCTTGGACGATTCTATACGGTTTTTTTTTCTTTTTCTATTGTGCAGGTGCAAACATAACAGAGAAAGGTTTTCTTTACATGTATTCCCCCGTAGTGGGCTGTTGCTTTAGTTTTTCTTACGTTTTATACATAAAAATCATCTAAGAACGAACACCTCAAGGTACATCAACATTTTTTTTCGCCTTTTCTTCGCTTTATTTTTATTTTGAAATATTATGAACACCATTCTAAATTGAGTTATCCTGAAAATGTTGTTATTATTGTTGTTGTATCAGTTTTCCATTTTTGGATAATGATTCTACTTACTCATGAGAAATATAAACCATACACGTCTACAAAGGGGAAAAATCACGATAGACTTCGATAACTGTTTATCATTCTTCCATTCATAGACTATCTAGTAGAATTTTGTGTTCTTAGACCTGTGCCGGTTTTAAATTAATATTAATATGTACCAAACAAAAGGTTACGCACCTCCTAGACCAGGTTTGTGAAAGAATGTCATCTGTAGTAGTCATCCAACTCTTTCTCTCTCTCTCTCTCTCTAAATTTAGGTTATGTTCCATCGGTGCCTCGACGGGGTATCTATCGATCAAGCTATGTTCGTCCTGGATACAGTTATCGACCACGTTTCGTCCCTCCTGTTGTACCAGCTGGTAGAGGACCAGGAGGAGCCGGTTTATTAGCAGCTATTCTCGGACCAATTGGTGGTTTAACAGGATGTTTATGCTGCTTAAATACTATCGGCACATGGGGATTATTTATTACAGCCATTCCATTAGCTGTATTTATAAGTAAGTAAAGTGTTTGTACAATTATCTAATAGTGAATAATTTGACGAAATATTTTTCTTAAGGTCGATGGTACAGAGATTTTAAAAATTATAGAAAGGCAACTTTTGGTAATGATGCTGAAGGATTATTCGTACATCAAATTCTCTTATGTACGGTATTGATAATATCATTATTATTTGGACGACATATGCGTAGCACATAGAAAAGACTTTTTATTCTCATACAACACTTCCAGTAACAACGACGACGACTTCTCAATGATCAATTTAAACAGAAATGCCATTTTTGAAATTTGGAAAACGCGATGTGCGATATTTTCTTTCAATTTGTCTCTTGTTATATCTGTTTATATAAATAATATATTTTTTGTCGCTTCTATTTTCTGCAACACAATGATATTTTTAAAGTTTTTTTTCTTGAAAAAATAACTACAAAAATACTTTTATTATCATGATACAAAAACAACATGTGTGATTACGACGCTTATTTATAACAAATATATAAAAAAAAAAGAATTTTTGACGCAACAAATAAATATGATATAAAGAAAATTTGTAGTTTTTTTTTCGGATATGTTTCGTTTTAATTTTTCTTAATAAAAGATGACGTACAAAAGAAACCGGCAAAAAAAATTAAGTTTTATTTCATTATCGATAGTCACTAGACTGTAGATATACTATGAGACATTACACATCACTCTATTTTGACCTTGAACATTGTTAACCTTTATTAAACTAACTAGAATTAATTTTTTTATTACTAATAATCCAGAAGTTTTTGAAAAACGATTCTAAACATTATTCAGAATAATTATCCTAGTCATCTCTTGAAATAAAAACTAACAAACAAGAGATTAAACCCTAGAGTGTATGCTACGCAAAGGAGAGACACAAAATAAACATTTCAGTATTTTTCCTGTTATGTTAAAATTCAAAAACATGAAAAGTACGTTTCTATAGACATTATTTATCAAAAATCTCTACACCTATATACCATGTATGCATTTCTGTTCCGATCTAAAAAACACAAAGTTTATACAGTCTCTCTCTTTCTCCCTGCAGCAAGGTATTCATATGATAAATATCTAGTTCTTCCATATGAAAAAATTGAGTAATAGAAACTCTTGATAGAACAGTTGAGTCTACTATGCATTCTTTCTTTTTTATAAAAAAATTAATGAAAACTGGAAGTTGAATGTATGTCTTCGTTATTATGAAAACGTAGGGCGATGTACTTTGCAATACTATGCATGAATGAACATGCGCATGTTTTTAAATAGCATGCACACAGAAATTGTTTACCTTCAATGATGATTACCAGCGATATTCTCATTTTTCTTATTGATCGGAAGAAAATTTTTCTGTACTGAGGAGTCAACGATACGGATGTATATGTAGAAATATCAAAAAAGAGCAATATTCTCAATTACACAATGAATATAGTTAGTTGATAGAAGGTAGCGGTGCGAATGATACTTCTTTTCATTTTTTGGGCAGGTAATTTTGTCCATCGATTGCGTACGACTATTATCAGGACTTGCCTGTCTGTTGTTTTTTCTTTCTTTTTCAATTCGTTGAAAAAACACGCATCTCTGATTTTTTTCTTATTATTATCGATCAGTCGCAGAAGGAAAACACATACGTGTACATGTATGTGTACGTAATAATAACACCAGTAGTAGCAATCGGTGCCTAAAAACAAATTTCCTCTTTTTGTTGTTATCAATAAAAATAAGGTAGAAATATTATTAGTTTAATTTAATGATGGAATTATTTTTCTTTTTGCTTGTATATTTGTAGAAAATAAATATAAAAAATGGTTAATCCATTAACAGTTGCATTAGGTCCTATTGGTGGTCTAGCAGCATGTGCATGTTGTTTAATAATAGCAGCTATATGGGGTCTATTTGCTACAATGATAGCACTTGCAGTTTATACAAGTATGTTGCTTTAATGTCTGTCAAATTTTCTTTTGTATAAACTTCTTCAATCTTTATTCTAGAAAGATGGAAAACTGCAATTGAGGATGCCGGATTTGGTACTAGTGCTGGAATGCATATGATACTTAGTCAATCATTACTTATTGGACTATTGCTAGTCTATGGTTATATTGGAATTAGACGATTGCTAAGAAGTTAAATATTGCGAACAGAATAAAACACTAATAAATAATATAATATATTTTCTCTTTTATAATGAATCGATATAATAAATAAAAATTTGTTAGACGAGTCAACTATTTTATATTGGCGAAAACAGTGTGATATGAACAATAATAACGATCAGTTTTAAGCAATAATCAACAACAACACCACGGCGGTTTTAATATATATATTTTATTTTTTGCTTCTTTTTATGTTTTTATACTTATTTTTGAAAAGCCCGTTTATTATTTGTAAAAAATATATATACAGAACACGCAATTTACAAAAGAGCATCGTAGGAATCAGACGTACTACATAAAGAGTGACATACTCTTCTTATAATATACGATACAAAAGTCTTTGCAAAAATATTGAGCATAATTTTTGCATATTCCTGATGTACTGGCGGTTTAATTATTTTTCCGTTAGAAAAAGCAAAATTTGAACTTCAAAGAATAAAAACAAAATTTTTGTAATTAAGTTTGAGTGAGAAAAAAATCTAAATACGATAGATCACCAAAAAAGCTCTTGCAACTTCCTCTCTCGTCAAATATATCTCTCTCAACAAAAGTATTTTTTCAGTATAACAGACTAAGTTTGAAAGTATGTAATTATAGAAACCAAATGTGTTTTTAATACTCTTTCGAATAGGATGTGATAAATTATCTTTTGATCTAAGTTACTTTTCAATTAGAAATTCGTAAATTTTTCATTTGTTTTAGAGAAAGAATTGGTTAGACTTAATCAATAATTTTTATATACTAAATGAATTTTATCCTTTTGGTAAAACACATTTTCTGAAACAGCATCCAATTCTCTACAAACTCACATTAGTTTTAATATTTACTGACATATCTTGAGCCCTGAATAATAAGTTTTCCCCATGTCGTGTCTTTCTTGTGAAAAGTAGAGTTTTCTAACCAAAACTGAGTTTTATAATAAGTTTTTTTTAATATTAAGGAGTTAATGAGAAATTTTCGACAGTAGATGGATCGGTACAGTTTTGTGTAGACGACATTCTCATCTATATAGTTTTTCTCCTCAGGTTTCAGAAAAAAAATTTTTTCTACAATTCTACATCTTTTTTTCAGAAAGATTCTTCGTTAAATTCTCCACAAAACCCTGTTCAACATTTTGTTTCACATCATGTAGAAAAAAAGAGCAGAGAGCGAATACTACAAAGCTGATTACTATCCAATTAAAAAAATAACCGTTTGTTCGTTTTTCGACTCTTTCAAATTTTGAATTATGAAAAATTGATGATAACTATTTTGAAGCAACTTGCAACTGTCTGCTACGAAATTTATTTGATTTTGCTAAAATTTATCTTGTTTTTGGACAGTAGTTTCGCGTCTTTTAATCAACTTTTCATAACGTGGCAAAAAGTAAATATTTTAAAGTTAAATTTGTTTTGAACAGGCATGGGCGAGTCCAAGGAGGTACCGAATCCGAGTCCTTAACATTAAGGACCGAGTCCGAGTCCCGAGTCCATTTTGAGTCAGGTAATCTTTTCGATTCTGTTTGATTCTTTTTTGATGAGTGTGGTTTATTTCTCTTTTTTAATTAACTGAGCCCTGGATAGATATTTGATTTTTGGAAAATAAGGTTACTTTGCACGTCCATCTCCCGAACAAAATTTTCAATTTCTTGCGAAAGAGAAAGTGTTATTATTTTGCTTTTCATTTTTCTCTGTTTATTTGTGTTAAAAATTGAATAGATCGGACTAGAAATACAAAAACTCACATTCGAGTTCGAGTCCTTCAAAAAAATCTCTAATCCGAGTCCAAGTCGCCAAAATATCTTCCAGTTCGGACTCGGACTCGTCCATGCCTATGTTGAAGTAATATGAAAGTTCTATATCCAAATGGAAAAAATTAAGCAACTTGCTTTCTCTCTCTTTTCTAACTCTACATCACCAATTTTACTCCGTTTTATACCATATCTAGAAGTAAAATTAGCTTTTAGATCACAAAAGTAAATCTGATACATTTTGATCTCATTTGAGTAATGATAACGTTTTAAAAAAAACTGTTTTTGAGTTATTTTCTTAGGTAGAAAGACGTCGAGCTCGAAACTTTGCAGTAATATCTGTACTCTAATCTTTTTTCTACATGATGAGTTGCAAAATGTTGAACATGCATTTGTGAAGAATTGAACGGAGAATGTTTTTTGAAAAAAAAGCCCGAATAAAGGTGAAGAAAATATAAGCAAAATAAGCAGAGGACCCGTGTTTTATAACGATCCATTATTTTCCTATACATGATCAAATTTTTCTAAGTATTTATAACCTTAAATATTTTTAGAACATATTGTCTGGTTTAAATATTTGTGGAGTTTAGATTTTAGATTCGACGACAGTTGATATCATTAGTATTTCACAGTTTTTAACTCAACGTATTACTAAACGGCTGAGAAAATTTTCTAAATAATAACTATTTGACAATCGAATATTTTTGTAGACTTTTTAAATAAAATTTTTTTTCCAACTTTTTCAACATATTTGGATAAAAAGCAGCGAACTTATTTATAAAACTGAATATCCTGATTTTTAGAAATTTATACATTTAAAACTCTACACAGTTTAATTTTTTATTTTATTTCAATCTGACCATATTCGAGTGTTGATAAACTTTATTGTAATCTTACGATGTCGTACGAACAAGTATGTCCAAAGTTAAAGTATTTTTCTCTCCCGGCAGTAAGCGTAATTTCAGTGTGATACATATATAAGATAACTGAAGGCTAACAGAGCATAGTAATTATCGTTCACTTATTATCTTTTTATTTCTTATTTTATCAATAACAGCTCCTAAATTAGGAGACATGGTTGAAAGTAGAAAAGGAAAGAAACCTTTGAAACTATCTGTTGAATGTCAAATCTCACAGTACAAGCATTGTCAATCATACATTTTGTACCATATTTAGAGTTAATGATTCAATTAGTAGTTAGTTTTTAACTTGTTTGTTTTTTTGTGCAACACGTTTTGTCGTCGTCTTAGTTTTTATTGATGATTTTTTTGTTGTTGTCGCTTTAGCTTTCACTTGATTGGGCTTAACAACAGCACTACGAAGTTGCGTTGGTCCTTGATTGATATTATTACTGGAACCGACGCCACTATTAGTTAATCCATTTTGACCTATAGTACGGAAATGAAAATGAAACAATTACAGTATATGCTTAAAATAAAGTAAATGATTTAGTTTTAAACTCAAATATAATCAGCTGTGATTTTAATTTAACAAAAAATCTTTGTAGAAAAATGAAAAATCCTTACCGTTATTTCCAATCGTTAAACCCTCCGTTATTTCCTTAAAAAACGCTTGCTTATGAACAAAGACCGAAAAGTTCCTTTTAAACTTAGCTATTATATAGGTAGAAATATTTTACTAATATATCGTGTTATCAACAAACTAGAGAAAAATAGTGTCATATTTTGGAAAAAAACTACATAGCATAGAATGATCGCAGTCAAGATTATCAGTCTAAGTTTTAGTCTAGAAGAGATTTACTTTTAATGCAATTCTTTTATAGAGTTAATTAGATAATAGTCGCACAAACTATTGTGTTATGAATTCATTGATTCTGCTGCGTTCGCCTCCATTGGGTATAACTATTGAAGGTGTGAAGAGGTTGGAGCAGGGAGCTGTACTTTCAAAAATTGGAATAAATTCACTCGGTTTTTTCACAAAAGTGAAGTAAATTTCCACCAAAATTTCTGAAAGCAGGCGTGTTGCACACTCTATCCGGTCGCACCACTACTGGGTATAACTGACATTTAATAATCTATACCATGTACGTTAAATGTATGCCAAAAAAACAGATGTTTAATAGGCAAATAACTGTTGAAGAACGGCCAGTTACCATAGACATTATTGTCCGTTCCCTGCCTGTTAAGGACGGCCAAAAAACAGGCATTTAACTGTGTATCAATAAATGTTAAGTAACTGCTTCAGTTAAATGGCCGTTACTAAGCTACTAACAGTAATTTCTGACGACGTTTTACAGGAATAGCGGAAAAACTGGCATTTTTAACGCCGGCTGTTTTATACACCCTTTTGTTTTGCTATCGTTACTGTTATATAAACGCCGCTGATTTGTTTGAACGTACCACTGAATCGAAAAATTTTAAGAGCTTATTCGATCAAAACCGATCGTAGATTCGTTTTCTTCGAAATCGATTATCTAGTGTGCGGTAACGTTTGGATCAGGGTCTTCAGAAAAAATATATTCTCATGATCTTGCTCAAAACTTTTTCCAATTAGTTACTCTATAAGACCAAAGGTAAAAAGATGTCAAAAATTTTTTCTAAAGCACCTCGATTGAAACGTTATCGCGCACCCGATAATCGACTATGGAGAAGACGAATCTACAACCGATTTTGATCGAATAAGCTCGTAAGCTTTTTCGATCCGCTGATAAGAAGATTAAAAACTTTCCTTCTTCTCGATTGTCAAATCGATGATCCATTAAAAAGCATTTTACTGACCGTTAATATGGTCGTTTCTGACGTCCTCAACAGTCTCAACTAAGCAACAGAAGAAATGGCTAACTATTGTATAAGGAGAATGCTCCTAAGTCACAGACCGTTTTGTACCGCATTTGGTGGTCGATTGTTAACGGTATTTTGTGCTTGATTGGTATTGGTGTTTGTTGGTCGGTTGTTAACGGTATTTTGTGCTTGGTTATTATTAGCATTTGGTGGTCGGTTGTTAACGGTATTTTGTGCTTGATTGGTATTGGTGTTTGATGGTCGGTTGTTAACGGTATTTTGTGCTTGGTTGGTATTGGTGTTTGATGGTCGGTTGTTAGCGGTATTTTGTGCTTGATTATTATTAGCATTTGGTGGTCGGTTGTTAACGGTATTTTGTGCTTGATTGGTATTGGTGTTTGATGGTCGGTTGTTAACGGTATTTTGTGCTTGGTTATTATTAGCATTTGGTGGTCGGTTGTTAACGGTATTTTGTGCTTGGTTGGTATTGGTGTTTGGTGGTCGGTTGTTAGCGGTATTTTGTGCTTGATTATTATTAGCATTTGGTGGTCGGTTGTTAACGGTATTTTGTGCTTGGTTGGTATTGGTGTTTGTTGGTCGGTTGTTAGCGGTATTTTGTGCTTGATTATTATTGGTGTTTGGTGGTCGGTTGTTAGCGGTATTTTGTGCTTGGTTATTATTGGCATTTGGTGGTCGGTTGTTAGCGGTATTTTGTGCTTGGTTATTACTGGCATTTGGTGGTCGGTTGTTAGCGGTATTTTGTGCTTGATTATTAGTTGTTGGGCGGTTATTAGTGGAATTTTGGATTACATTCATCGTCGATATTGGACAACATGCATAGCAAGCAAACATAGATAATGCATTGGCAACACTAAAAAAATAAAAGCAAAATTTGTGTATTGTAGTAAATCGGACGAGTATAAATGTCAACCTACCCTTGTGCTACTGAATCATAAACGGCGCACATGTCTATGTCCGATGGTGGCATACATGTTCGACAAATTTCTTTTAGACAATCCACCATTTCCGCGTTACACATGGCCCGTGAAAACATACAACTACCAAAGCACATTCGATGGTAACAGGTACACTGTTGATATTCTCTTTGATAACATTGTACAGCAGCAAATGAGCGTCCATGTTTTTCCCAAAATGGACAAGAGGGACCGGAACATGAACGTTTTGGTTTCAATGATGCGAAATAGGCATAGGCTGACTTTTGTGGTGAAACCTTTGTATTTTGTTGTTTGATGACAGCTTTTTTTGTTGTTGCTGCTTCATAACTAAGCGAGACAAAGAGGATGAGCAGAATCCATGATGCTTTGGCTATCATTATGTGGGTGTATGTATGTGCTTATTATTATGAAAATAAAAATGTAAAATAAGAAGGTTGATCAATATGTATATAAGTGATAATATCAATTCGGATTATTTTAAATGTATATACGTGAAATAACACCATGTTAGGCTTAATAAAACAAATTAAGAATTGAAAATTCAAACATCTATTTTAAGCGTTTGATTGAAATCAAAAATATATTTGGCAATTATCAGAAATGTCATATACATACACAAATTGTTCTCTACTAGAGTATGGGGATTTAATTTGACCATGGCTTTTAACATTTTTCAAATTTAAAACCCACGTTTTAACGATTGACCTTAATTTTACATCTTAAATTATCGCATGAGAGATAGAATTCCATTTAATATATGCAAAACTCAAGTCTTGTCTTATCACGTATATTCGAAAAAAATATAGAACAAAATGTCCTAATGCCAACATGCCCTTACTAAATTATAATGGCTAACCCTACAAACTCTGTCTATCTGATCTCGAAAATACGATCAATAGTATCGCTTTTTGATGAAAGGATGGCTCACGTGTCAGATGTCGATAACCGTACATAGTTCACATCTAATTATTTTTACACAAATGTTGCAGTAATTTCAAATTCACGAATATAAAAAGAATTCAGAGGTTATACAACATTTTGTAAAACCAAGAAAAAAGCAAAACGCCTAGGTTGTTTAGATGATAATAAAAGCAAATCGATATTAAATTAGCGGATTAAAAATCATCTTTCCAAGTTTCATCGAATGCCATAATTTTTATTTGTCCATTCTACCAACGATGAATCCCACCAAACAAAGCTTGAGAAACACTTTTAAAAACATGCTGATTTTTACCAACTTCGAGCATAGATTTTTATTAATAAACGTCATCGAATATAATAGAATGATTCATTCAGTACACATTTACTGACCAACTAGAATCTGGTGTTAATCCTACCGCAATTCGAATTAAATAATATATTTCTGTTGGAATATTGGTGGCACTGTTAGTTTATTGCACAATTGTATCTAATGGAATCCTGCCGTTATAATGTATCACTATTATACCGTTGTTCGCTCAAATTTCAGCGGAAAATGGTTTCGTTAGAATAACAGAATATATGGATAGTTTCTTAAAGTTCTTTTTGGAGAAAAAGAGCTAAAATAACAAATTTCTTTATTGCTCTCTTCGTTTACATCTATCTCAACACTTTTTTTGTCATCGAAGAAATTTAAGATGTACGATATACTAGATATTATAATCACGTTGCCGATTGATCCTTGTAACCTACATCGAAGTTTATCACATCATCTATATTGGATAAAAATAAAACCTTTCAAATCCACAGACTGTTAATGAAGAACCATTTCAAGACATGCTCAACTTTTTATTTTTCTTTAAGAAGTAGGAAACATTTATATCGTATAATTTACCTACAAAGGCCGACAAATGATTGGAATGACGTATATACAGCGGGTAAGAATACTTTTTGAAACCTTACTGGCGATAATTTTCAATTCAAAAGTAAAAAAGCACTTACGGCATAATTCACAATTATGATTTTATAAAAAAAAAGGAGAAATATGACAAGTTTGAGTTTTGATTGTTTCCGATTTAATTTTTGAACTTTTTTTTCTGATGCGTATAAGTTTTATAACATCGTAACTGAAGAACAAAGAAAAAAATTGCCGCTGAACAGAGAGAAAAAAGGAAAACATTGCCCAGCAAAGAAAACGCTATGTTTCTTATCCAGTTATAAATATCTGCATACACACAATTATTCATTATATTTCCACAAATATATACAGTTTGTGTCTGTCATTATTGTTACCAGCTTTAGAAATGGATTATTTAAAAATATTAGCCATTTTTTTAATTTTTACGCAAGTAAGTGATCGATTGTAAGGCTATGTTGTAATTTCAAAGACGCATGCTCAAGATGTAAAAAAAACTTGAATAAATTTTAGTCACAGTTTAATATATTTAGATAAAAAAACACCTACTCTTTTCTTTCTCAATTACAGTATATTCTTGACCATAAAAGAGAACACGTGTTCGTTATAAAAATGCGTTTGATCGTTTACGAAAAAATAGACACAAAAATCAAACTTGATTTTGATATCTATTTAGATTTTCCAAGTAGCATTCGCTCGACCATCATCAAATTCACGACATGATTTAACCCAATCGGCTTACAACATCGATCTAGATGATTTAAGTGACAACGATTTGAATGATTTAACTGACTATTCATCAAAATCGAAAAAATGGATCAAATTTATCAGTAACAACAACGAAGATCGGCGAAAAAAGTTTTTAGACTCAGGACATAGTCTGCAAGGTTTATGGGCTATGCCGGGAAAACGATAGAAAGTAGAATAAAAACTAAATAAATTTTAGCAATTTTCTTCTATATTGTACTGCATCTAACTACTGAACGAATAAACCGATATTGTTTTGTTATTTCAGCAACACAAATAAAGAATTAGAAGGCATATAGCTGTTCCAAGCGAGATCTCTCAATTTAAAAAGAGTTGCATTTTTCAAGTTTTTAATACATTTATTCAATTTATTCAAGGAAACGTCTTTCTTTTATAATAAGAAAATAATATGATATACGTCTCTTTCTTTTAGTAAATGATCAGTGGCGGCCCCAGAAAGGAGGACAGTGTTCTTTTGCTCAGTTTTTTCTATTAGTTTTGTTTTGAAAACTTTTACTATTCCAAACTTACCTTATAGAAAGTACCTAACATTTTTTGCATATGAATGCACTATGAACGGCGTGTGAACAATTTGAGATCTATCTCATTGGTTGATAAGTATTGATGGACACTAAATCGAGTTGTTTGATCTAGTTTAGTAAATCGCCTATCACAAGATATGGATATGGAAGATCAATAAGACTGAAAAATAAGATCAATGTGCTGTATGAACGATGCTTAACACGTTTGAAGAAGAGAAAAATCCATTTTTGAACGCCCTATAACTTCGCTTTCTTTTCATCACTAAAAAAAGATTTGTTTTTATATTATTTGCTTTTTGTTCAATGTATTACTACTCTACCGTCTTGGAAACAAGACTTCGTTGTCGAGCAACAGCTTTGACGAGAGTAAATAGCACGTTAATGCACTCAAACCTGTAACACCTTATATCTGCAATATTTTTCGCGTAGAATGTTTATTGGTTCAACTGCCCCATTTTTTTATGTTCCATCCTTTTTTACTTTCCCGATCGTAAGATTTCGTCTTTCTACTATAGCATTTGCCTACATCGGACGCATACCCTTAGAAAAAAAAAAGATGCGCCATCCTTAGCGCATTGCCTATACACACGCACATGTGATTTTCATAGTCTAGCATAGAAGCATTCGTTCGTTGTCCTCTTAATGAGAAATTTTCATACACTGCATATAGTCTAGTGTGCATTTTGGCTCGTGAATTTGCCTTAATAAAATATTTCAGATTATACCCGTCGTTTATTTAAGCTGAATAATATTTCTATTCGTATAAGATATTATAGTGGTGAACTATCTATACAAGATGCCGCGAGGAGCAAAAAAAGAAAAAATTAAAAAAGATCCAAATGCACCAAAAAAGCCATTATCAGCTTATTTTCTCTTTTCGAGAGATGAACGCCAGAAAATCAAAATTGAACGTCCAGAATTATCAACAACAGGTATGTATACCTCTTTTTACATTGAATATCATTAGATTTGCTCGTAACTTAAGTCAATAGTGTTTTATTTAGGATTGAAATATTTTTCTGCTTCTACAAGATATCTGAGGCGAGAAGAATACTTTTCATGTTGCTTGATTGATTAACAATTACTTCCTTCAAGAGAGGAGATATACGATAAGATGCACTCTAATTTAAAGTCCTTCAGTCTGTCGAAAAATTCGCTGCTAGGTTTGAATGTTAATGAACGACGAAGAAATTCAAAACCAGTATAACTTATTAGCAGCAAGCCTTCTGAGAAAAATGTTTGCTACATTTAGAATTCCTACTTTGACACTGAATGCATCTGCTTAAATGTAACTGGTACAGCTAAAAGTTTATATATGAGAGAAATAATTGCTCACAGTTAATTACTTCATTTCATAAAAAAGTTTATTAACTGCTAGCAATTATTCGTCGCAGAAAAAGCAGGTATGATACATACCACACATTTCGCCACCAGACCGGCTAGGATAACTTATGGGACAAGTGATGTTAATTTTTACTACGTTAAATAGTGATCGTTTTTGGTTTATTGTTCAGAAATAATGAAAGTTATTGGTGAAAGATGGTCAAATTTATCAGATGACATCAAAAAGCCGTATGAAAAATTAGCTTTAAGTGAGAAACAGCGTTATCAAGAAGAATTGGCTACATATCAAAAAGAAACCGGTGATGGTGATAGTAAATGTGCTACGAGTAAAAATTCATTAGATCAACCATCTCGAGCTTCCACTTCATTAACAAACCAACAAACTCATGGTCTGCAGCAGCCCATAGTAACTCAACCTTAAATGGAACTTTACTGAACCACATAAACAATTTGTCATAGAGTCAAAACCTTCAAAAATTTTGAAGTTTTAATTAAGTTCGTTATAATTTTCTTTATTTTAATTGAAATTTTTTTCTAATCAAGTCATAATTGTATTAGGTTATCTAAGATATGGAGTTTGTTTTTTACTTACGAATATTCGTAGGATATTCTGATTGAATTTTTGTTTTGATCTTGTGAATGTTACTTTTTTTATTTTCTCCACCTAGATGCCATATTTTACTCACTAGTGTTTTCGTTTTTTGCCAAGTAAGTAAAATAAACAAAAGTAGTAGTATTTAGTATCCTTAAAACGATTTTTAAACGGCATAAAAGCCAAAACAGTTGCATCAAGAAGGACAGTCCTCAGTTGTCTATCGCGTTAAGGAAATTGAGATTTATCGAGTTAGAGAAGATAAAGAGGCTATTTTGTTCAAATCAAATGTGATACCATCGTTTATAGAAACCATTACTCAAATCGGAAAATGTACACTGTTGTCTCAGAGATAAGTACTGATGGTGTGTTAAGTTACTTCTAACTTAATCACCTTTGGAGGGAAATGAGTTGTTTGACAGTCATACTCAGCTTTAAAGGTATAATGTTAAAGTTCTGTTTAGAGTTTGTAAATTAAAAACTTGTGTATTCGAAAGATTAATGCTCCTCTTGCAAAGAGTGAGCTAATAGAAAGATGAGTAAGTTTTTAATTTTTCAGATAAGGATTCATCTTCGATTTACGATGAAATAATACCACGTATTGGAGTATTCATGCAGTCGAGAATCTCCGAAGATGATTTCATTACATTTCTATGCACCAAACTGTAGCTTGAGCAAAATACCGGCCTGAGATAGAGAACGACTTTAATCTAGATAGAGGTACATTTCTAAAGATTTCATACATAATGCTGCAGAGTTTTATCCGAGAAAGAGGAGAACGCAAGTTCTGTCGCACTCATCTTGGCTATGGACCCTGTAATTCACTCTGGCAATGTGTACAGTTACTTAATACAGCCTAGCAAGAGAGTTATTAAGACTAGGAAAAACTCGGAAGTGTGAAAAATTTAATTGTGAGATTTAATCGAAAGAACCACTGTTTCTAAGCACGTTCAAGAATTTTATAGCTGATAATGAACGATCCTAAGAAACATACAAAATACATTGGAAACTGCTTTTTTCATCAGATATCAGAACCCTAAGTGTGCGACGTGGAAAGATGAATTTTCTATACTAAAATGTGTATCGCTTTTGCGCCAATACGACCAGATCCATCATAAGGTGGGCGTCTCTTTCTATTTTTTACTAATGTCTTTTTCTTTTCAGATATCCTGCTAGATAACCATGGTTGATTACTTTGGACAAACTTCTTCTCAAAATTTGACCTCACTCGAAAGTCTAAATGATCATAACTGTATTATTTCTCATGAGAGTGGAACAATATGTAAAACTAATGAGCGAACTAGTTCAGATTTATTTCCAAATAATGAAGAATTTCGTAAGAGATCTTTTAAACTGTGTTTACATTTGTTATTGAGCAAATCTAAATGTTGTATCTTCTAGACCTAAATGATATGTCATCCACAACATCTGTTTTACCTTTACGTCCATCTATGAAGTTAAAGTATATTAGTGATACAAATGATCAATCAAATTTTCTTGCGGATTCATTTCAGTTGTCATTGTTTGGTTCTTCCAGAAGTGGAATGACACGGTGGTGAGTCTTTGAAAATTTATCCTCGCTTAGTTTGACTTGATGTTTTTCTTTATAGTGTGTCGAACGCAAATAGTCTTAGTTCATATGGAGATAAGAGTAACAGAACTAGATTTGGTACATATTTAATAAATGATCCAAATACAAATGGTAACATAGCTTCATCATCGATGTCTGATGTATTTTTATCGCCGTTGACAAGATCACAATTTCCATCAACAGTATTTCCTTCTACTACTAGATTAAAAAATGTCAGAATGCCGTTATCTCAGGTGGGTCTTATAAAATGATGTCTCATTTCTTCTATCAACTGTGAACGCTGCCGTTCTCTCTTTCTTTCTCAATGATAAAAACTGAGATAATTATCGATTAGTAGTTAACATTTGCTTTTTTATTCTTTTTCTCTTTCCATACGGTTCTACTTGATGAACAGAAAGAGAAGTAAAAGAACCATCCGTTAAAATAAACGACCAATAGTTCTTCACATTTTATTAATCATGATTAAACCAATGTATATTTTTGTCTAACCATGAACCAATAAAAAGCAGATCACCTTTGATTGTCAAAATATGATATTTTATATAAAAAATGTGGAACCGTTATTCTCGTAAAGCACCGTCTTTTCGTTCTCACATTAAACGTCTAGCTCATTAACAAGGTGCTTACTAGTAACTTACAACGATTTCCTGCGTACTTTTTACAAAAAATAGTTTCATTTATAGAAAACTGGTATTGGAAATCGAATTCAGCACAAGATAATTTATATTATGGTTTACGTTCGGTTATGAAATATATAAAAAAAGTCATATGAAAATTTTGTGACGTTGAGCACAAAGAGATTGAAGAGTTTTTTAACGGGCATGGCCGGCTAACTCTTTTATTGCAAGGGAATTCCATGACATTTTTTCTTCATTTTGTTGTGTCAATATATACCAAACCGAATTATACAGAGAGTCGCGAGACGTCTTAAATTGAAGAGAACAGTCTTGTGAACATTTTGAGACGTATCTGCACTCTAAACAATGTCTCTTTCTGAATAAAACATTGCGTACATTGCGTTCAAAAATTAAAATTCTTCAGAATCGAAAAGTAGTACTAAGTTTTATTAAGATCTTCAGAAAGAGACATTTTTTTAGAGTTCAGATACGTCTCAAAACGTTCACAAAACTGTTCTCTTCAATTTAAGACGTCTCGTGACTCTGTATGATTCGGTTTGGTATATATCGACACAACAAAATGAAGCAAAAATGTCATGGAATTCCTTTACGATAGCAGAGTTAGCTGGCTACGCCATAATACGATTACTGACAATATAATAAGGAATAGGAACACTAATGATCATTTTTATTCAATACCAGTATTAGAAGCCTAAATTACATTCTGAACTGGTCTTTTTAACACACTCTATGGTTACTTTGACAGCTTGTGCATCTCTGCTTTTTGTTCCTTATTCAAACCTTTGTATAACAGCATCTAACAGCATTTGCCGTCATATTTTTTACACCTATTTTTATTTTTAGTCGCAATCAACTATCAGTGATTCTTTTGAACACTTGCCCTCGTTTGATCGTTATAGATCATATTATTCATCATTTACGCCTCCGTCATCTACTGAGGAAACAACAACAATGTCACGTTCGTCAAGTAGACAAACATTCACCGTTATTGACGATCCAACAACGAATGCATCTTCTTTTTCAAGATCATCGACTTTAAATGATGAAGAACAGTTGATGCCGGATGAAAATACACCATATGGTGCCTAGTATATAGCCTTACTTTGTTCATACTTCTATTTCCATATACTTTACCTTTATAGGAGGACTATCATCGATGTTTCACATTACTAGTTGCTCTAATGGAACACCGACATATCGTGGTACTTTGCCAACCAGAATACAAACAATGCCCAGTGCATTTTCTCAAAAAGCCTTTTTAGGTGGAATCCAGTCAGATATAATAACCGAAGGTAGACTAACAGTTGTTTGTAATGGAATGACACAACTAGTAATATGCAATTTTGTTTAATTTAGCTGATCTATTGTCAATACTACGACGATTTGGTAAATGTCAACTTAAATGGCCGAAAAATGATACATCTGGTTCATTAATTCCAGGTAATAAAATTTCCAAATATCAATGAAAATGTTTTGTTTGATTGTTATTTTTCTCTGTATTTTTGAAGGCTTTTGTCACGTGATTTATCGTGATACACGATCTGTATTAGAACTATTGAAACACTGTACTCACCGTCAACGTAGTTCAGTTGATTATTTTCTTGAAATTCATACAACGACAGCATCAACATCATCATTATTTTTTGGAAATAATAAAAGATCAACCAAACTTAAAATGGTTTGTGACCACTTAATGTATTCTAAACAAAAATTAATTTTCGTACTTTCTTTTTACTCAATATAGATTCAAGTTGTACCATGGAATATACACGATAATATTTGTGTCGTTCAACAATTAGACATTAGTAGTAGTGGAACGAAGGATTGGTCACGAACAATTTTCATAAGTACATTACATGGAAAAATATCAGCATATGGTCTAGCTGTAATTATGTCACAAGTGTTTGGTGTGTTATCATGTACTCATTCAAAGCTTTTTGAATTTTTGCTTTTTTGTTTTCTCATCCTTTTAGGCAGGGTATCATTAGCACAGTTGAATACAGATAAATACGGCTATCCAACTGGTATGATCATATTGAAAATACTTCTCGAATTAAATGTTATAAGTCAATTCTTTTATTTTACTTTAGGTACTGCTACAGTATTATTTAGTGATTCATTGGGATATATGCGTGCAGTGGCAGCTGGATCAATCGACATTAAATGTGAATGTTTTCATAAACTAGTAGGTGAAATGAAAAGAATTTTGTACCAATGATTCAATTATCCTCTCTTTTATCTGTTTAGCTTGAAATTGATCCATTTCTTCGTGAAAATGAACTGTGCTATTATTGTCCAAATATTGCCGATAATTTTTGTCGAAATTTTCGTTGTTTAAGATCCTATTGTAATTCATGCTGGATTAAAAAACACGGTACAAAACCGATGGCATCTTCAAGCGATCATCCACCAATATCTAGACGGCAACAATCATTTCCGTTAGCTACATTAAATTAATTTTTATCTTATGAAAAAAAGTATTCTTTTTACAGTACATTTTTTTGCTAAAATTAGGCTATTTTTTTATATAATTAAATAAATAGGTGCATTTGTGTATTTTTCTATTAATTTGTTGTTGTCTCTTTGTCGTTTTCGTAACAAAACATTTAATTGTAATATATGCCACGTATGTTTTTTCTATATACTCTTATACTGTATGTGTTTTTTGTAATACTTATTGTCGTTGTTTGTTATAGAGAAATAATTTGGATATTTTTCCAATTGAGGTTTTAAAAAATAAATCGAAATATAGAGAACAAAAAAAGACATGCTTTAGTAATAGCCTATGACGATTATGAAGCTGACCATTTTTTATTCGCGCTCCGTTAAGTGAAATATGGATCGGTGCCTACTTCTGACAGCTATTTAACTCGGAGCGTTAGTCAAATCCTATAAAAAATTTTGTTGATTAAGACTACTAAATAGAATAAATTATGTATGCCGGAAGATATAGAACGTCACACAGCGATAATTTTATCACATGCGAAGATCAAATATAACTTGTGTGGCAGATGTCTTGATAGCATTGACCTGGGACCTGTTTCTCAAAAAAACTTAAGTATAATTTCCTGTTTACTTAAGTGAAATTATTCACTTAAGTAAAACTTAAGTTTTTTCGAGAAACAGGCTGCACTTAAGTTGTTTTGAGAAACAGGCCCCTGCATTATAACGACGGAGCCTCTGCCAATAGACTGATTGCTTTCTATAGAACTCTTTCTACTTGAAGTTCTGAGACAACAGATTAACAAAATTGCCTCATCTTTGAGGAAAACAGTTTTTACTATCATTAGTTCACTACATGACTCATCTTGTTTTATCTTACGTTGTCACTATTACTAGAATTGTTTTTTCATTCAAATGATATTTGATTTGATGGATTATTTTTTCTATTATTCAGTGATTTTTTTATTGATTATTTATTTGTTATTTTTAGAATATTTCTAGAATGACAAAAGATAAGATTGAAAAGATAGATATTTGCAAAAGATATTATTTCAAGAGCTTTGACATAATACAATATGTTTTTATAAGAATTAGCCTAAATAGCTTTCTTGAATGACTTTTGCTTTGTACTGCGTATAATCAACAGTACGTATTCGAAAGTAGAGTTCTAAGTGACAAAATAATCTCAGTATTTGAACGCGTTTATCTGAACGTATAGCTGTTTCGTTTTTCTCTCTCTCTCTCTGTATATACGAGAGACAAAAAACATGTAACGTCATTATCTTCTGAACAAATAAGCTAGAAAAATTTTCTTTTTACCATTCGATAGCTCGAAGTTATCGAAGAGATAAAATATTTGCTTATATACCATTCAAAAGAGCGAAGTCTGGACTACATGATCAGAAAAAAAAGTTATGAAAATAATTATGTCTAATGGGTAAAAATTGTACTTATGATTGATTAGTCAAGTTTCAGTACCTGAAATTCATCAAAAGATAACTTCAAATATATCACTGGATATCGCTCGAAAAATGGCATATATCTGTTATAGTTTATTTAAAATTAACTAGTAATTTTATGTTTTACGCTCACTGATGACATCTTGAATATGACTCATTAATCTATTTATTTTCAGTGGTTAACTCAATTATCTGAAATTGTCTTTTGATAAGTTTTCAGTAGAGAAAATGAATTTTTTTCTGTGAGACTTGACTCATTAATCGTAAGCACAATTTTCACCTAATATTCACACTGACAGAAAGGAGAAAAATATTGTTCTCTATTATATAAAATGGTGTGCACATATGGATGGTGTGACACGGGACTTTTATCGAGACCAAAGAAATTCGTCATAACTCAGCCATTTCTAAAGCTACAAATGTTTCCGTTGAGATGTATGATTCAGAAAAATATTAGCTTTTGAAATGACTAGAGTTAGAACGGATTTTTTGGGTTCCGATAAAAGTCCCGTGTCTACCACTCCTATGTGTACCACTCTCATCAGCTGTAAATTATATTCGAACGTATGATAGCTCATTTTGTAGAGAATTTTTTTCTCTACAAACATGTTATAATATGACATTACAAGTTTTTTGTCTCCATCGTACGAACACTTTTCCACTTATACTATCTTTATTGGCATCGTAACACCTAGTAGATAGACGGCAGATTTTATATCTAAAATCGTCTAAAATATATATATATATATATAGAGCGAGAGAGATCAAAATAATCAGTGTTTGTTTTTATTTATAAAAATAATTTGAAAAATAGAAACTAAAGTTTGATTTTAAGCAATTTTTGACGTTTCAGATAAAGGGAACTCGCATTTTTTTAAACAGCACTTAATAATACGTAAAATAGATCTCACTGATATAATCCAAATTGGTTTAACAATTATCAGATCATATAAAGATAAAATTTATTTTATATTTCCAAGTCTCCAGCATGTATTTTTTAAAGCTAACTTGTCGCGGTTAGAAGAAAGAGTACAACCACATGTGTCTTTTATCTAACTTTTAATACATATTATTTGACTTTTACAATTTTTAGAACATTTCACTCTTTCACATTTTTTGAAACCGTGACATGATATTACGCGTTAGCACTAAACTGTTGAAATAGTATATTTTGTAGTTTTATCTAAATAAATTCAGCGATATGAACCGTCTTCTTTTTTACTTCATACTCTCTTCTCAGTCAGTCTAGAAATTTATTTCTTGCCTTGTATTTTCTCTACTTGACGTCAATCTATTTATTCAGAAAATAATTGAATATTATATATAGAAGAAAGAAAGTTATCTTAATATATTATTAGTTGTTTCTTGTAAAAATAGTGTACATTTGTTTTATTTTTATTTTACTACGTCTACAATCTGATAACACCTCTAATGTTCATTAATACTACATATTTTTTCTCTGAACACAAAATTCTTTACGAAATGAAGAAAAACTTATTTTCTTTTAGATATTATAGTTGAACTGATCTTTATAAAACTAGTTGGTACACGTGTAGCATCAGGTAAGTCACTATGAACCGTTATTGTATATCTCGTGTGTTGGGCATTGTACCACGTGTTGCCTCATATAAGACGATCAGTCGATATGTGTTATGTGCAAGTCTTCTATGTAAACGAATTTGGTTTCTCCTTTGTATGATGAAGTTTGCGATTTCTACTACAAAATGCTATTGAAACTACTATTTTAAAAAATTGGAGAGAATATTGAATTAAAACTATTTGTACAAGACATTCAACGAAAAACAAACAGTAGTAATATCGACCAAAAAACGTTTTTTTCTTTTGTATGTCATTTTTACAATGTAGTTTTCAAATCAAATTTTAATTAACATCTTTCTCTCTCTCTCTCTCGTAGTTATTGGAAATTTCATACAACTCATAAAATTATCTGGAAAATACCTGAAAAAAAGCATGATTAATATGGCTGAACGTATTGTCTTTAACCACAATCTTTGAATATGTAAGTCAGATATAGGTAAAATTGTATAATGTGTATTTTTTAGGCGTGGAAGAAAGTAGATCGGACATTTTAAATTCAATATTGTGTGTTTATAATTTTTATCTTCCTTCAGGGTTTGAGAATTGTAGATATACCACGGTTAACAACGAAAATTTTTTGAACGTTTGAAAATACCTTGCAGTTTAAAAAATCAAGAAAAGGGTGGATATCTTTTGTGTATCTTATGAAAATGACAAGTATTTATTATTTGTTATAGTATTAAATTAATTTATCATATTTTTTGCGTATCAAATATTGTTTTTAAAAATAAAACTGATAATTTTTTGTTGTACGAATATCTTCTTTGTTTATATTACAAAATAGCTTTCTGTAAATAAAATAAAATAGAGAAATAGAATGAAATAAACTTTTTTGATTATTGATGGTGAATCGATGTAATAACTTCTCTCATATATCTGTAGAGATTAGAAACTTAATGTATAAAGATTTAAATAGCCGTACAAGAGAGTGATATGTGTGCTAGACAAATTATGATAAGCATCCTGTCTATTTCGAGGAATTATTTTCTAATTCAGCTTCGTTTTTATCATGTATAAACCTTAACAGATCGAATATAGTGTTATCTCTGTCTTAATGGCCTAGTATAAGAAGTAGATTAATAGTTTTCTTCACTATGACATTTTTATTGTCGTGGATTTGTCAAACTCGATGTTGCTATGGTCTATTTTTAGATTTCTCTGTTTGAGGTTTAACTATTTCATTCTTTTGATGATGCGATGAGTAAGTGAGCTTCTTCTCAGACTTAATAATAATTTTAGATTGGCTTGAAGAGTATACAAAATATTTTTTATCAAGAACAAGAGCATGATGAACACTTTATTTTACTTCTTATTCTGTTGTAATGATATATATGTATATGTATATACAGCGACCATTCACTAATGAATGTTTTTAGAGAATCAGATATTAAAGTCTTTGCTTTCCCAATGAGACAATATGGTTCAGTTACCATAACGTATTTAGAAGAAAGTAAAAATTATTTCATCATTCTTTATGTAGAGTTAAAATTTCTACTAGAATGAAAACATATCTCCATTATGTTTTTTTTTCTTTTTATAGATTTTTGCTTAATTGTAATATAATCAATTTAGTTTATTTTAATATAAAATCAGACAACTTAATATGGAAAAAAATACGGTAAGTAGATACTCTTTCTGGTTATGAAATAAAGGAAACATTGCATTTTTTCAGTTTGTATTTTCTAATGGACTATATTAAAGTTACACTACGTCTTAATCATGGTTAATTTCTGATCGAACCTCTAGAAGATGACGTTAATCATGATTAAAATTGGCTGTTTCATATCAGATTAGTTACCGATAATGGATCGTAACCATTAGTTAAAAACATACGTTTATCTTTTTTCTATTTATTTATTTATACTCGGCAGATAGATGTACGCACAGTGAACAATTTATGACTTATGATGAGAGAGTTTCATTTGCGCGAATAAACCTTTTTTTGTGGATTGTTATCATTCGCCAGTTATCTCAAAACATTATAAACAAGGACTAAACGTTTTCAAAAAATCGCCATAATGGAAGGAAGGGTGGATAATTTTAATTAAGATTTTTTCACTCAAAACTTATTGTTTTATATATAGTTTCATGCACTGATTTTGAATATGATATTTGTTTATTCAAATGCTTATTTTCCGAAGAAAACTAGCTTTTACGTAACCAACTCTCAGTTTCTAAAATACCTACGGTGAAGCCAAGGAATGTTTATGCAATTTTTCACATAGAACATAGATGTAATATACATAGAAAAAGGTTTGCGTAAAGTTTGAAGTCGATCGAAATCTGGAGAAAAGTTGAAACCCTGCTATATTGAATAGTTAATTTTGAGAAACCTTTATACCTTAAAAAATACACGTTTTCTCTATGATTTAAGTTGAAACTGGTAAATTTTTTCACCATCAAGCACCAGAAAGAGTATGGATTTATTATATCGATCAGATTTTTACATAGACAACTGTCTGACTTATAAAAACAGTTAAAATTTGATGGTTTCGGACGATGCTTAGGTGTATATTCTCAAACGCGTTTTCCCAATGTTCTGAAAGCAACAAATAAGCTCTTTTTCACGAAAAACGACGTACAAAAGATCGAAGCTTATGATCCATTATCGAGAATTAAGAAACAAACAATTTCACTCATTTTTTGATATTTAATCGTGATTAAAGACATAATGTAACTAATCATAGAGGAAGTCTTTAGCTACTCTCATAATCTTATCTTTTAGTGACTCTTTGAAAAGTGATATATAACTGCTTCAAAATGTACGGTATTTTTATCTATAGAAATCAGCTCAAATTCAAACAAATGATTTATCCGGCCATGATTTAGCAAGTGTTGACGAAGAAGGTGATGTCTTAATTGTTAGTGAATCAACGATTAAATTTGATAGTTCAACAGAACTTCAAGTGTTACGTAATAAAATAAAAGAATTGAAATTACAATTAATAGAAAAATATGAGTCAGAACGAAAATATGAAGATCAAATAAGAAACTTAACAACAGAATTGAACAATTCACGATCATTAGTCAATCAGTATGCTAATAAACAAGTTGATTATGACATTTTAGAAGAAAAATGTGAACAATATCGACGACAATTATTTAAAATCGGTCAACAAGCAGCCGAAGTTTTAGAGCTATAAACTGACTGAGAACTTGTTTTATATTGACTGTCTTTCATGTAAATAAATGTGCTGTTATTGCTATCTTTTTGAATATCTATTTTGTTGTTGAATGGATAAATAATGTGTTCTGAACTGTTAATAAAAGTGTTGCTTCAATTGATCATAACATGGTCAAAGCTGTTAGACCCTAAAGTACGAGGAAAACAGCAGTAAGTGCTACGAAAGTTTTGAGACGTTTCAGTGATTTTCACATAGTTCATATATTCTTTTTAGTATAGCACCTGTCGGTACCTAAAACTACCGATTTAGTCTATTAGTAACGTTCGCGCTTCGTACAAATTCAAGATGGCGGATGGGTAAACGGATTGAATCCTTAACTTATTTTTTTCCGTTTGAAACAAAAATAAAAGTATTATTGTCTTTTTAGTAATGTGATACAAATACAGCTTTACGAGATCTCATTCAACTATTTAAACCAGCTGGATATGGAATTTTTGTGTGAATAAGGCTTAAATAGAATGCTCTCCCACTTAAACTCATAGTGCCGAACCACTTTCATTAGTCACCATATATGGGAAATACCAATCAATCGCAATCAATTAATTTTAGATGTTTTTCCATAGCAACTTTTTTCTGATTTTCGTTTCATGCACATAGATGTAGATGTTCATGGAACGACTTTTTACGTCATATTACACAAAAACTAATATTGCAAATTAATAAACAGACACATCAGTTGAATAATCGATTTTGTTTCATATAAATGTGACATATTGACAATAATTAGAAACTGTATGTCACAATCAACAATGCATATTGATGGAGACAGTATTATAAAAGGCAACGAACATCAACTTCGAAATAACGGAGATGTTATCCGTCAACATCGGAATGAGAAACTAGATATTTATGAAGTTTTGGAGCTAAAAGAAATGCTTGATGAATTGAATAGCTATGATGAAATCCTTTCATCAGCAATGAGTACAACAATTGAGAAAGCAAAATTATTAGGTTTAAAACCAAATCCGTGGTTGACAATATCAAAGCGAAAACAACAACAGTCAGCTCATGACAGTAGTTCTTGGCAACCAACGAACATGATAGTTACTGATCGATCAAGGGAAATATCATCTATTAGTCGTTCATTTAAACCGCTAACAACATCAGAAGAAAATTATGATAAATTTCAAAATACAGAAATTGAAAACATACATCGACACATGTTCACAAATCGACAATCATTCGATTCACACAGAACAACTCAGCGATCGAATGGTATATATGTGTCGAGAGCGTTACTAACGAGTTATTAATTCTACTGCAAAACTCTCTTTTTCTATCAGATAATGATAACAGTGACATGTTGACAAGCGCTGATAATGTTCAAGATAAGTCGGAATCGTTTAGTAAAGGTGATAATATTCGATTAAATGTTTTTTCAACACAATATTCCGTCGGTTCAAAACGGCTCTGTGATAGTCGCGCTAGTGGAATCGAAAAGCAACAACAAAATGAAAATAATACTCGTGACGGTGAAAAAAATCAAAATCTTTCACTTCTTTCTCCTCAACAATTAAATCAGATTGTAGCAAATTCCAAATTGAATCCAGAAGCAAAACCATTCACAGCATCAGTTGGTAAACGTGAACAATATCATCGAACAGCGACGAATGATACGAACCAAGTGACCGAACACCAATGGACATCGATTGTAAATTTAGAAAAATTACGTCATAATAATCGATTTTCTCCAACGACATTTCATTATGCGAACACCTGTGTACCATATTCATTCAAACCATTACAAGCGAATACAGTAGCGAAGTGCAACAAATTTAGAGATACTAAAGACAGAAAAGAATTAAAGAATAGTTCCTCTGACAATACTAATAATTCTATCGTAAAATGCGATGCTTGTGAATGAATACAATACATGGTAGTACTTGTTTGATTACTACTACTATTATTAGTTTGAACTAAAGAGTTAAGTTTCGTAAAGCAGTTTCTCGTACTATGTGATTATTTGTATCGTGTATTAGCAACAGTACTGCAGTAACAGTATCGTTCATGAATAAACTAGTCCGATGTCTAATATGCTACCTTTCGCTAGTCACTGGATGGTGGTGAATGGATTCTCACGCAGATTAAGTAGAACGAGTGAATCTGCGCCATATGATGACTTGCGCCGTTTTCAATTATTTATCTTTTCATAAAGTTTAAAGTGACAGCCATTACAGTCGATATTAAGCTTTGTATTCAACAATGTTTTCTTCTTTTCTGTGTTTATGCGCCATTGTTTTGTCAAATCCGTTCTCTAACGACACCGTTATCTGTGGCTAATAGATTTACCAATGAATTAGTTATTATATACATACGCCTTATTGCTCATATGTATAGACAGCTGTAAATTTACTCGCATTAGAACGTTTGACTTTGGTTTAATTGTTCTTCCTCGTTGGGGTGAGGATTGCAGCAGTTCGAGAATTTTGAAGGAAACTGAAGAGAATTATTTCGATAAATCATTTTTTTCAATAAACTAAGACACACTTGTGTAAGCCACTTATTATGAGTCAAAATGTGTTTAGGTAGTCTTCAAATCTCTCTGCTTTAACAGAAGAAATGGTTCAAAACAACCTTTTCTCTTTAAATGAAAATAGCTTGCAGGTCTTTTAAAAAAAATGTATGCGGTTAAGTTCAAATTTTGCGTTCTCATTCTGGCTAGATTTTCATGTTGCACTTTCTAGGAAGAATATCTTGACTTTTGAAATCATTAGTTTCTGCGTTACTGACGCTACAGTCTGAGGTGGAAAGGGGGGGGGGAAATTGTATATCGCGTATTAAACTTAGAATCGCTGACATATGTTTCTTATCAAACTCTTTTCGAGAGTTAATGGAGTCCGAAATTCTTCTACATTTCCAGATTGAAGAATTGTTTCACATTGATTGCACCGAATCGGTTCGTGAGGCTCAACAAAATATTTAACTCTACCGCTCTGGAGAAACTTGCTTGGAAATAAAAATGATAGGCTTTCGAGATATTTAGGGATTCTACTCTAGATGCAAAACACGAATCGTTTTCCAAATCCATCGCAGCAGATGATGGCTGGAGGACCCATGACTGCTAGTTATCAAATGCCTCAAATGAATTCACAGCCAAATCAACAGCAACAAATGTCTAATGTTCCATCATCTCACGCGCCCCCATCTGTTCAACAGCAACAGCACGGGCTACATGGGGGACATTCAATGATGCAAAGTCCAAATGCTCCTCCTTATGTTAGTGTATCTCCACAAGTGCCATCCCCGTCACTCCAACAACAAGCACCGACGACTCGTGATAGGATTATGAGTGGACAAATAAATATGTCTTCATCACCCGGTAATCAAATGGTTACACAGTCACAACAACATCCCTCAACCTCATCTTTTCCACCGCAACAATATTCCAACAATGTTGGTTCAACACTACCTACTCATACATCGGTAAGAACTTCGAATAGAATCGAAGAATACTGCTCTGATCGTAAAAGAGTTAAGATCTCTTTTTCATAGCCGTTGTTCTCATTTGTAGCCCACAATGCTGATATCGAATCCTCCTAGTAATGGAATGCCATATAGCGCTTTAACTCCACAGCATATGATAAATGCTCCACCACCCCACATGACCCATCCATCTTCAATGATAATGAACCAAATGGTGCCGCCACAAGTATTAGCACAACAGCAGCAAGTTCAACAGCAAAATCGAACAGAAGATGATCTTGGTGCCAAATGTAAAAGAGCATTTACTGTATTTGATGAGAGATTAAAAGTATGTTGAAAGTTTTAAAATGTATTCACCTTATGGACTAGTGCAACATTCTTTTCTTTTCATTTCAAGACATTTCTGCATGATTATTCAGCCATTCTTCAGTCAGATGAAGCTCGTTTATCGTAAGTAGTGTCTCTTTTGTTTATAAGAGAGGTTGTTTTAGTTTAAGTTTAACACTAGTTCTAGATAGAACAGATAAAACGGGTTATGTCTGACACAAACGTTTGTTACAGTTTAGGGTGTTTATTATGGAAAAGTTTCAACCTTTGAGAAACAGTCGTAGTATTTATTCATCCCTAGTAGTGTCTCTTTTAATTATAAGAGAGTTTTGTCGTATCTATTTTGTTAATTTAGTGCGCAAAATCCTGATGTAATCACTCAAGCAGCACAAAGTCTCAGCAAGAAATATGAAGCATTACTGGTATCGCTAGATGTTCTGGAAATGACACTGGTAATTAAAACAGTTTACTTATTCGTTTTCGTTACATAAAGCACATAATTGTAACTGTATGATTTATTTGTCTTAATTGTTCTATAGCGTATGTTACAAGACTGCTCAACAACTTTAAATGATTTTCGACGTTTAATGCCATCAGCGGCCAGTGTCGTTGATGCAGGAATTCATCCAATTGCAAATCCGCCTATTGTTCCTGTAATTGGTCGTGCAGTTGACCCACTCCAATATCAGTTTTTATTAAATCACATTCAATCACAAACAAACACATTGAACAGTGTCAGAGATATGGGAAAGAAATTTACTGACACGCAAACATCGACGTCAACAAGATAGAACAGAAAGTCTTTCATTTTTCTTTTCCTATTTGTACAGCTGGTCTGTATAGTGTTTTTTTTGTTTGTTACTAAAATCCAGGGACATAGATATGCGAAACACACAATACGTCAACAAAGCAGAACACAATAACTGTCCCTGTGTATGTTCAAATCATCAAAAATTAGTTGACTTTTTGAACATTCCAGATTAGTATTGTGTTTCAAGGTCTCTGATGAAATTTTATGAATATAATTCGTTCATTTCAGAAGAATGGGAGCATTATTCCAGTTGCCTGTACTGGAGGTATCCATTTATTACTAGTAGCAACAACGATTAATAGCGATCTCGTCACCATTAACCAGTGGTCGAAAGACGGGAAGCTCTCATTAAATGCTAATAAATGTGTAGCTATTTGTTGTCTCTAAAAAGTTTACCCAAACCTAAGCCTCTATTAACTCTTGGTACCGACGTTTTAAACGGTGTTGAGGTTCACAAGCGTTTAGGTTTCATTATAACAAATAAATTAGACTGGTGCGAACGCATTAACTGTATATGGTTAAAAATAAAGAAACTTATTGGTTTGCTAAAACTATTTAGAAGAATTTTAACTAGGCAAGGAGTAAATATAATTTACAATTTATTCATAATGTTTCACTTATGCTGACAACATCTACGAAAACACATCGGAAATAAATATTAAGAGACTTCAAAGTGCTCAGTACTAGTGGCGGCGCCACAGATGGGCTCAGCCCACCCTAAAATATTTTGAGCCCGCCCAGAACATTTTTTTCTGGACTACATTACAAAATTCAGTGAGGTTGAGCCCATCCTGGTCAAAATTCAGGGGGCCCGAGCCCCATCCTAGTCTAAATTCCTGGCGCTGCCGCTACTCAGTACCACGCTGCACTTGCAGTAACTGGTGCTATTTGTGGAAGTAACATAAAGGATGTTTTAGATATCGATTGGGAACCGATTGAGAATTGATTCAGAATAGATAGACTAACAAAGTTTCAAACTATTTTAGTTAAACAGTCACCATCTTATCTTTCTGAACTAATTCCTAACCCATTAAGGCCACAAACAAAATATACTTTTCGTAGCCGATATTCAAATAGACGAAGATTATCTAAGAGACGTTTGAAAGCAGTTGATGATTCCTTTTACTACCGAACGTTTCATGAACATTCTGAATTACCACTAGAAACCTTGTTGACCTTAAACATAAAATCATTTAAAAAAAATTATCACAGCACAGAAACGAAAGTTTCCCATTTCAGAAGAGCGCATGAGTGAAATCAACTATTATCATTGTCGCATAGGTCTTACACAATTAAAATATGATTTGCACAAACGAAGCCTAACAGATGATCCTTTTTGTGAGTGGAGAGATTGAGACCGTTGAACACTACATTGCTCAGCTTATCAAAATGAGCGGAATATTTTATTTCGTAAAATAGCCACTTTTTTGCTACGATTGTTATTCTCCTTACTACTGCTCAAAGATAATACTATTCAACAGGTTGATTTAGTAGAAATATACAAATTGATGATAACCTATATTATAAATACTAAACGCTTTATGAAACATGCCTGACTATTTTCTTTTATTTAATTACACACACCTCAGCAGTATTTTGGATGTGTCCGTTACGGATCTTCATCACTTTATCTTATTTTTGATCCTTATGTACTTTTTCTCTTAGCTTATCAGTTGTTCTTTGCCTTCAGTGGCTCTTCTTATTGTCACTTCCCTCTCTTTCTCCACGTAGCATACTTCTATTGTCCACTTAATTGATACTGTAACAGTACTGAAGTGAGTACTTTGTGTTCTTTGCCATTTGCTATATTTTTAAATAAAGTGGTTTAAATCAACAAAAAAAGCTTCTTTGGGTCGGTACTTTCCTAGATTTTTGTAACGTAGTCAATTCCTTGATTTTGTTTTAATGGGAGCTGGTTCCATGGATAAAACTTTCTGGTTGCGCCTTTGAATGGAACAGACAGTGTAAAAGATGCAAGCAATTCAGCTATAGTATACACACTGCAAATCCCCAAAAATAATAAAAATCGATTTAATTTTTCATCAAGCACTTTTGAGCATGGATCTAATTTGGCTCAAACATTTTCGATTGCAAATATATAAAAGGTCATAGAGTCAGATTCTTTGTATCTCTAGGTGTGATAGTTCGTTTTTCGCGTAACTATAACCTGTCACAGTTATAACCAGATTGGTTTTGCACTTCGATAAAAGATCATAGAGTGGGTATCTGTCGAGTGACCGTTCATTTCCAAAAAAAAGAACTTTAAATCTGAAAGAAACTTTATTTTTTTTCTCGGCTAGGCGTTTTAGGCTTTCAAGTGAACTGATAAAAATACAATTTTCCAGAAATTCCTTATCAATTTTCTGGCAAATAAGAAAATAATTCTGAATTACAGTGTATACCAATGTATGTATGTATCCACAATAGAATCATAGGTATCGAAATTAAAAAAATAGAATAAATTAGAATTTTAATTTTGACATGTTCCTAATCAATGTAAAGAATTACTAAATACAAAATGTAGTCGCATAAGGACAAAATTTAATAAACGTATTACTAATTATTGGATTCGTAATCATATTTAATATATACATACAAATAAGAAGAACATTATTATATTTGTTCCTATTTCTGCAATTTTGTAATGCTCCCTAAGTAGGTTAATTACTATTTAATGATCTAAAAATTATTCTGAAATTCCCATGGGAGACGGATTTCAGAGAGGTTTACTAAGGAGAGGGTCGTTTTGATTCCAGTTAGGCTCTGTCCCTAGTGGGAACCGTACAGCGAAATGTGTGTCTAATTGGAACCGTCCCGTTCAAATAACACGGGTTTGCAACGTTGAAGTAAACCCTATTTTCCACAACTTTTTATAGGATATTGTAAAAAATATTTCACAGAAATTAATTCACGAGCTGTTCGGTACACAATGAGCCAATTTCGAGATTTTTCCGACCAATTGGTAATAATGTAGTCCCTGAGAAATAATAAACTTAAGTTTTATTTTGAAATTGTTCTCAATGAGCAATGAACATAGTATAATTTGAGCATTGCATAGAAAGAAGATACTAAAATCATTCGCATTCAATAAACCAGACCTAAATTGTCAACTTCTTGTGAAACGTAATTCATATAACAATAATCACATACCCGAGATCCAACAGCTATTGTGGGAATATTATAACTACAAGAGTAACATACTAATCGTGTACATTTGGAACAATAACAAAAGTCAAATTAGAACTATATGAATGTTAGTTTATCAGCTATAACTTTTTCTAAAGCTAAGCTGTTGACCGCTTTAATTTCATGCTTCCACCGATCCATAAATTTGTAAAACCAAAATCGTCTTACACCTTCAACACCTATAGCAAAAATATAATTAAATATACTCGAAAGCCAGTAAAATCACTTTGCTATCTGTTTATACTCTTACCTTATTTATTCATTGCTCCGTTGTTCATTGAGAACAATTTCAAAACAAAACTTAAGTTTATTATTTCTCAGGGACTATATTATTACCAATTGGTCGGAAAAATCTCTGGAAAATAGGGTTTACTAAAACGTTGCAAACCCGTGTTATTTGAACGGGACGGTTCCAATTAGACACACATTTCGCTGTACGGTTCCCACTAGGGACAGAGCCTAATTGGAATCAAAACGACCCTCTCCTTAGTAAACCTCTCTGAAATCCGTCTCCCATGGGAATTTCAGAATAATTTTTAGATTATTAAATAGCCAAGACTTTCAGCTACAAAAGTCTCAAATTTGTTGAAAGTCGATTCAAACCTCACTGAGATACTAAATTACAAGTTAGACAAATCCTTTCTCAAACAAAAATCTCAGGCTCTGATTCTGACCATATACATCACAAATCACAAACTTCTTTAACTCTGTCTTGAAAAGTTTATTTGCTTATTCTGAAAGATATTTTCAGGTATGTCTGTCTTAATATCAACGTGAAATATTTTTCTCGACAATTACCATGACCAAAAGTGAAAGTCGGAAAGTGTTAATAGTGGAAAAAAGTCCCTTTGAAAGTGATGTGAAAGTGACTACTCAAGAAGAAATAAAAATTCTATTTTGATAAAGCTAAGCAGTGATATTGTTACCGTCTATCTCAAAAACCAGAAAGGCCCTATTTTTGAGAAATACATTTTCTCTTCCAAATGGATAAAAACTAGAAATGGACACTCCCTGATCAATTTCTATTTAACTGGTTAAGTTCAGCGATTTTGCATTAAAGTCTTTATAACCGATATTTTTCTTCTACAGAAAAGTAAATTAACACTTGGATTAAAAGATAAAATTTATTCGCATTCATTTCGTAGGCTAGAGAAAAACATATAGTTTAGCTTAGATTAAATTGAATTGTGCAACTGATAATAGAAAACGAAAATTTATTCCATTTTGTAACCAGAACAGATTTTTCCCTTTCTTTCTTCTTCTGCAAAATATTATTTCTCTTAAGGGTACCCCCCGTTTTTCATCTTGTTGCCAAGAACAGAGCACAAGTCCGATTGACCTCCAATTTATAGCAGAGATAGAACATCGAAAAAGAAAATTGATGTATTTTTGTCCAGAATTTTCTGAGATTCTTATATGGGCTTTCTGGAAACTCCAGTTTCCATCGGGTCACATTACGACCCCTCGAGCTCAAATTTTTACCACAGATACGTCAGACCCTATCTCAG